TCTATGATCACTTCCACACTGTGCAGGCATGATCATAAAACAAGCAACACAGCCCACAGACTGTTGATTCCTGTGACTCTACATTTCATGACTCCAGAAAAATGGTGTCATTTATAGCCGTGGATCCATTCAAGCTGGTGGGCATAATTACCTGTTAGCTCGTTACTTGGAAGGTTTGTTCTTCAATGTGGCTTTTAAGATCTAATGTGGTTTTTAAAGATGAACCCATTACTGGTTATTATAGGGGCCTCATGTTGGCCCTTGGTGCAGCTTCCTTCCGAATACATCTCTTGTGCCAGATGTTCTGTGTTGAATTCAGATTCACATGGATAATGGTGAGAAAGAGAAGACTGTATCTGTCAGTTTAAATGATGAAGTTAGATTGCAAAAATGTATGGTCCCCTCTTTGAATTTATAATTTTTTAAGGGAGGAAGCTAACCTCTGTGGTCATCAACCGTGTCAATAGTGCCACTGAGATTATATTTTATTTATTGCAATCACAGTCTACACTTTAAGAACAGGCAAAAACACACACCCAACAGCAATGTGAATCACTTTTTTGTTTAGTCATTCAGCTGAAGTAATCCATCACTGGGCATTAATGAAACAAATTTGCAGGATGTGGTGGAGAAGTGTCAACATAACATTGGGCGGGGAGCTTTTGCTCTGAAAACTCAGGCTAAGCCTAGGGGAAATTCTGTTTTTTGTGGGGTTTTTTGTTTGTATGTGTTTTTTTGAAAGCCACAGTTTGAAATGCAGCCAGTTATTTCTTTGGTACCCATCAGCAAACCTTAAATTCTGCGTAACATAAAACAATACTTTTAACACATTTTTAACCAAATATACATTTGGCCACTTTATCCCTTTCTGTCATTGCACTTGATGCATGCCATAATGCTTTGCAGCAAGGTGTGGTTTCAGCTTGAAACACTGGAAATTATAGAGAAATGTATAATAACCAGTCTAATTTTGTTTAGTAGCTACAAACAGCGTTTGGCTGTTTTTAAAAACAAACCACCTTTTATTGACGCCTTCTAGATAAAAGCTTATTTATTTAGCTCACAAAAATGAATTAAAATTAAGACCTCAAGCAGTCTGGCTGCATAGCTCGTATCTGCCACTCAGGGTTTCTCAGTTTTTCCACTGCTTGATTTAATGTAGGTACTGCCATACCTTGACTTCTTTCACAAAGGGGAAAATCTCAGAAGCAGCAATTAACAGCAAAAGAGAGGAAGATGCATCTAATGACAACAATTCCCATAACACAGATCTCACCACTGGATCCAGTTTACCTTTTAAGAATGCTGGAAATACTTCTTTGAACTAATGTAGTTTTAAAATTGGCTTCAGATAAAGTCAGCCTTTTAAAAACACAGAGACAATCCTGCATCAGTGCCTGCTCTCTGTTGTTATTTAGGTACATTTGTTCCTGATGGTGACCGATTTCAGTCATTTTATTTTAGCTACTTTTGGAAGAGCATACGACAGATCCCAAGCTACACCCACTTTCTCTCTGTCAATGCACCAAACACTCTGTACCAGGCATTGACACAGCGGTGTATGACGCAAACCTGCAGGGAGGAAGGGTTCAACAGCCAGCTGTGGTGGGGTTGAGGCTTGGCAGTTCCTGGGGTGAAACAGCAATGAAAGGCCTTGTTCTTTTCTGTTAACCTCAATGGGCTGCCCTCCATCTGAGCTGGAGGTGTGGACTTGTGAGGCAGTATGGTGGGAGTGCGTATAAAGGGGGGTGCCATCCTGCCGTCACGGAGTCTGCCAAGTACAACATTACAACAGTAGTGGGATTGTGCAGTCTGTGTATTTTTTTTTCTGTCCCTATGAGCAGGAAAGGTTTTGCTCTCCTTTCCATCTTTCCCTTGTCTCTACCCAACCTACAACACTTTTACTTCATCAGACATCTCACCTGTTTGAGTTCAAACCAGAGCTCTAGCTCTCGAAGGACAGCCAAAGAGCATTGCCCCTCACCAGTTTGGTATTCATCAACCACTACATTCAAAAAGCCATTGATTTGTATTAACCTTTTTTTGAAATCTCAACTAGTATCACACAGATCGGATTTTTTGGTTATGTTTTTTCTTAAAACTCGTTTGATTTAGCATCTTGGCAGTTATGGTAATTTGTACACCATTAATTATTAATGTGGTACTACTGTAGAAATACAACTTTTTTTTTGTCTTGAAACAGCTGAGTACATGAGGTTTACTTGTCAATGATGAGCGGGTATTCAGAGGGAAAAAATTAGAAGTCAATTAGTTGAAAACATCAGTGTCAGACTGGTGGGAGGCCAGAGTGTTAGACAAATCTCCAGTGGCTCTGCCAGAAATATCACAACATCCTGGACCTGTCAATAAGATTAATTCCAGAAAAGGTTGCTTCTTAAGGCAGTGGAAATGAAGAGTATTCTTTTGTTAGCACCTCTCATCTGGAACCCAAGGACTAACGTCTGTTTTTGTTCTGTGTTTCTGTCTCTGTCTGTGTCAGCTAATTGGCTACAATGAGAAGCCCATCAACCTGCAGATGTTCATTGGAACAGCAGATGACCGTTACTTGAGGCCGCACGCCTTCTACCAGGTGCACCGGATCACTGGGAAAACCGTAGCCACAGCCAGCCAAGAAATTATGGTCTCAAGCACCAAAGTTCTCGAAATTCCTCTCCTCCCTGAAAACAACATGTCAGCCAGGTAAATGTCAAGACCACTTCAGGGTTGCATTACTTAGTTATGAGTTTACCACCATGAAGGAAGTCATGTCCAATGAAAAATAACCTCTTTTATGATTATACATAGTTGTAATATCTTCCAAAGGGGATTTTTTAGATTTTCTTAATTTAAACCAACAGGAGGGTCGGGGGCCGAAGGAAAATTTGAGTGTTTCCCATGGAGCAGAGAACCTAATTTTATTAATAAATTTAGGATCCCTATAACAGCAGAATGATTAATTTATATAAGACCTGGTTTCATTTACATTGGAATTAATGGGAAGGGATTTTGTCATTTACACTTGTAATAAATCATATTCACAGGCATTTTTAATTTCAACAGTTTGAGCAATTACAACCCGGCTTCTTGTTGCCAATCCCCTGCTGGGCTTGTGGTTGGTTTTTATCACTTCTAGGCCTTTACTACTTAAATATGTCTTAGATGCTTGCTATCCCGGTGGTGCTGTATTGGGCCAACTATTTTCCCATTACCCTGCAGTATCGACTGTGCTGGCATACTTAAGTTGCGGAACTCAGACATTGAGCTGCGGAAGGGGGAGACGGATATCGGAAGAAAGAACACACGGGTCCGCGTGGTGTTCAGAGTGCACATCCCTCAACCCAATGGGAAGGTGCTGTCGCTGCAGGCTGCCTCCATTCCTGTGGAGTGTTGTGAGTGTCTGCTTCCTAAACTCAGCTTACACACATAAAAATATTCATTCAGAAAGCCAGAACAGGAAAGATACAAAGATAGAAACACACAAACCTTCTCACATACACACTTGTTTATTAGCAAGCTTGCAGCAATTTAAGATTTGATCTGCTGTGGTTACTTTAGATAAGAATGTTTGATAACTGTTAAAAATGTAAATGTGCTCAGTTTTTTCTCTTCCCTTCTAGCCTGGTTATCTATAAAGCTACAAAGACCTACAAAAATATATAATACATTATTCTTCTTTTATACATAGGCTTTCAGAGAGGTTTTAAATCTACAGTCTGTTCTATCTTTATGTTATACCTTATATAACATAAGGTCACTTATAATACAGCTCAACAAATAACCATTCTCTCCTCAACCCTTTCTATCCCACTTCCAGCCCAGCGGTCAGCTCAGGAACTACCCCAGGTGGAGAAATCCAGCCTGACCAGCTGTCTGGTCAGCGGGGGAGAAGAGATGGTCATCACTGGTGCCAACTTTTTCCCAGAGTCTAAGGTCATCTTCCTGGAGAAAGGCCCTGGTAAGTTTTGTGTTCGCACAGCAGCTTAGCCTTGAACCACCCCTGCAGAATTAATGCGTGCCAAATGTGTGTGCAAAAATATTTCATGCTTTTTACAAGCCACCATGAGTAAAACATTAAATGTGTCATTTTGATCTGTATAGTTTTAGTCACAGACCAAACCTACTCTTCTATCATTTACAGTGGGATATTCTTCCCGGTGAGATCATATAAACCCACGTTTTATGCATTATTGCGAGAGGTCTTGTGCTTATTCTGCATTTGTATTACACATTTTCTGTGCTGTTACTAGACCGTGACCTCTGTTTTCTCGAAAAAAGACAATATCGGGAGAAATCAGTATATATTACAAAAGCGTAAAATTATTCCTGACTTCTTTTAACAGTGTTGTTAATGTTTCTGCGTCACTTCTCAGCTACATTCACAGCTACCATTATATTAGCCTCAGGGAATTTCTTGTTCCAACAAGCTAATTTGTTAAATTCCAAACAGGTTATGTGAGTTGGTTAGTTGTGCTTACAGTATTTTTTAAACATAATAAACATTTTAAACATAATTTTTATTAACACTTAAACAATTAGTACATCATCATTCGTGCTTATGTTGCAGTTGTCACTGATTTGATCTTTATTTAAAAATAAAAAAAAAGAATAATATCAATGCTATAATCTGCCACAATAAGTGTTATTGCGGCAGATTATAGCGTTGATATCATTCTTTTTTTATTTTTAAATAAAGATCAAATCACTGCAGCAGGACCCCACCCTCAAACTGTTTGTTTTGTTAATCACCCATCCGTTATATACTCAAACACTGTAATTGAAACGATTAAAATGTTTAAATTATATTTGTGCAGCAAAGTGATTTTTGTAATGTTGATGGCATGAAAAACACCTACAGACTCAAGTGTACAATACATGCCACAGTTAGTTTAGTCCGTCATCTGTCAGCAAACATGAACTGCTAAAGCTAAAGAGCAGTGGAGATGGGGACATCTCTGCATCTACAATAATGACAATCAACTGGGCTTGCATTTGGTATGCAAGTGACAAAAACTTGCTACACTACTAAATAATACTGGTGTCGTGTAAAGAGTATGTGAGTGTGGGGAACAAGATGAATGTAAAATTCTATAACGAAAATGTATTAGTTTAATAAATACTAAAGATTCCCTTGTGGGATTGATAGTGTCTATATATCTATCTAGGCTGAAAAAAATTACTCAGGATATAGCTACATCCAGATCATTTTGATTTAAAGCATGCAACTTTTATTACCTTTGCCTCAGCCCTCACTAATCTGGTATTTCAAGACCCGCTAAATGACTTTAACCAAAAGTGATTCTGGTCTGGGTTTAGTTTGAAAAATCCAAGATTGTGGCTTAGTCTGTGCAGCAAGAAACTGAGACTTGTTCAGACAATTGCACAGGTCTCGTCAGTCTTAATATAGCCATGATAGTATAGCTAGGCACACATACTGTACATTGCTTGATTTCACCCTGCGTGTATAAGTCCTTTTTTTTTTTTAATGCCATTAGTACACTTCCACCTCATTGTCTGTCCAAACAAAGAAATCTCTGGTCTTTTTGTTATTGCTGTTCATCTACTGTAGTATTTATTACATAAACCAACCCTCTGATTCCTGATTTACTCATGCACACACTTTGCCCCACATTTAGAAGGAGAGCTTTTGCATTTAAAACATTGTTTTACAATGAAAATGCGTTGTACATGTAGCCTCAGTTAAACCCCCATGGTATTCATCCAGTCTCTGTTAAGTGGGCCTCTTTCTCTTCCTTATCCTTTCTCTCTTTTATACATGACTCTATAACAACAAATATAATAGCTGTTACTTGGGATGGAAATTTTAAATGCATGAGTTTTGTTGAGCCAGTCTCTGCTTGCCTGAGGCACTTTTGTGATGAAGAGCTACAGAATCAAGTTCACACACGGCAGAAAGGTTGAGTGATGTTTCTGTGAGTGAGTGAGTGAGTGAGTGAGAGGCATTCTGAAAAAAAAAATTAAGGACAAAAAAAACTGCCTGGAGGAATGTGTTTAGCTCTTTAAGGTGTACCAGGTGAAGCATAGCATAGAAATGTGGAAACCTTCAAGAGGCACATCTTGGGTAGGGAGAAAAGCTGGTGCATGAACGCAGTGGACTGTGGAAGAAAAATATGAAAGGAGAGAGGGCAATAATGTTGATTGGGTTTGTGTAAACGATCTACCTGATTATGACTAATCCGCCTGCTTTTAGTGCAGAAAAACACTGATTGAAGTAAGTATTGGAATGGAAGAAAAAAGAGAGGCAATGACAGATATTTTTCCACGGCTTCTCATAATTGAGGGACAACAGATTTATGAAAAACTAGAGATTTGCCCACTGTCACTCTTACTTACATTGCAAGATGCTACTAAGTACCTTTACTATAAACGGATACAGATCCAATCTGTATCTGAGTTGGAGTGAGAGCCTATTAAAGCAGATAGATGTTTAGGTTTGTTAGGTTTTGCACAGTTTTAGTATGAATCTTGTTTTTTGTTAATTTAATGCAATATACAATAATTGGAGATGGAAACACAATTACATTAATTTACACATATGTGTTGCTGCTACTCTTTGTCAAATACTGATGTTAAACTGAGTCCATAACTGGTATGAGTCAGTTTTTACAAGCATGACTGTTTATAGAAGGGGTTTGACTTTAAAGGCTACCTTGAATTGTTTCAAATACAGCCTGGTTACTCCAGTGTTTCAGCTGTAGCTTCTTAAAAAGAAAAAGCCCACAGTTGCAATATAAAAAGCAATCACCCTTTATATTTTTATTCTGTCTCCCAGCACAATCAGAGCATGTTCTTTCCCTCTGTCTGGAGTGTGCAGGGTGTCTCGATGAACTGAGTTATTGTCTCGGTGGTGGTATGAGGCTCCTGTCGAAGCTTGTTGTCTGACAGAGCATGTGGGGCCCTTGCTGCTGCCTGTTGAATGTCAACATGCTGTGCTGCTGTAATGCACTGCTGTCGGCTTCAAAGGCATTCAAGGTCATTTTCTTCACTGAGGGGGGAAAAAATTCTCTTTTTATCAACAGGTTAAGCTCTTCTTTTGCAATCAAGTGAATCTGTCTTTTGTGCTTACTACAAGTAAGGCTAATGTTCTGTGTGATCAGAATACCTTCTAAAACCCATAGTTGATTTTGGTAGAATATGTTACAATGACTCTAAGACTGCCTCTTAGGCCTCTAAGACTGCTTAGTTTGCTGGGATCTACATGTAGGTTAGGCCTCTCTGCAGACTTGTTGCAGATGCCTGAAAGTGGTATTTGGGGGAATCCTTTGGTTTTTGTGGAAGAGGCTATGCAGGTGCACATTTTACTTGCACCATGTAGGCGCCCTGAAAAAAGGTTCTCAGAACCTTCACAGACATACGTCCTGAAAAAAGTAACTGCAAATTAACATAAGCTAAAAGGCAATTGGGTAGTTTATTTGTCACAGTTCATATTCTTCTGAATGGTGCAGTGACTGATTTCTTCCAGCCAGAGTCCAAACTTGTCAGTGTTTTCACCCCAGCTGCTTCCCTTCAAGCAGCTGCCCTCATAGGTGTCTGGCCAAATAATTAGATCCCTCATAGGAAAGCTGGAAAAGAGGTTTTCCAGCCAGAAACCTGGCACTTACTTATGTTAGAATAAATACAATTATTCCACTGCTTTCTCCATAATTTTAACCAGGCAAGACAAACAGCATGATATTTGGATTACTAAAGGCTCAGAAGCCAGATTTTCTTCGTAAGGCTTTTGGGCTTTTAAATCTACATCATTTTGACGTCTCCTGATATTCTGAGTAAACTGAAATTTTTACTTTTCCAAGACCTTTGGCTCTTTTTGAGCCATACTTAAGAAGGCTGAAAATACAAAGACTCTGCAAAACAAGTTTCAAAACAACTTACTTTAAAGTCTCTGAATTAAAGTGCTTTAGTCAGTAGTGATCATGTATAGCCTGCCGTTTTAGTTAGTTAATAATTTTCTCGCTGTATTTTATATCCCTCTTTTAGTGTATTTCAAAGTCGCAATGATTCAAGTTGTGTTTGGCCTGAAGCGGTATTGTAGTGATGCGATAAACTGATGCTGTCTGCTTCACCATTATAGCTTAGCTTCCATGATTCACGCACACAAGTTCTCAGTAAATTCTTCACCGAAACTCTGCTTCACTTTGTTGTTTTTAGCCGGGCTGCCACTCAGGAGCAGTTGATGATTTTTTGATATATTAGTATAACCTAATGTGTGCAGTTTCATTTTCATTTTGAGACAGTGCTGATGATTTCAAAAATTCAAAAACAAACTTGGGAGTCCCTTTTATGTGTATTCAAGAATTTTAACTTTGACATTACAATCTCTGTCAATCTAAAGTCTCTTGCTTCTTTATGCAGCCTTTTCCTTTTTTTTAAAAAAAATTCTAAACCATTCGTTCCAGATGGACGACCACAGTGGGAAGTTGAGGCAAAAATAATCCATGAGAAAACTCAAGGTGTAAGTAGTATTTATTTACTTTTATTTTTCTTTGACTTTGTAGTTACATTATGTTTTTTTTTTCCACAGTGCTTTTGACTTTGTGATATGTTTCATGACAAAAAGTCTCAATGTTTTTGTAGTCATGCATTGTGGTGGAGGTCCCTCCGTACCACAGTAAGAGCGTGAGCTCAGCCGTGCAGGTGCAGTTCTATGTCTGCAATGGCAAGCGGAAAAGGAGCCAATCACAACGCTTCACTTACCTTTCAGGTGAGTTGAAATATTCTTGTGTTTTTTAACAGAGCGGCTAAGGGTCCTTAAAAGTCTTAAGAACAGATTGAGAAAGAAAGAGCTTTAAAAATGTATCTTAAATTTAGTTTTGAGGAGTTTGGGCCATTTCTGCACATTAAGATCACACAATCCATCAGGACTGTTAACACCATGGTATTTTTGGAGCAGACTAAAGTCTGATCCACAATCCAGTCTAGGAAGTGAAAAACAAATATTAGATGAAGGTGATGATCATAGTTTACTTCAAGATTTCTGTTTAACCAGCATTTTTAGTTTCTACAAATGATACAGAAATGTATTAATTAGACCTGTAATTATAAATGAAAGTCTTCATTAGTCAAGACAGAATTCAAGGTGCTATTATGACTTGGTGACGATGTAAAAGGAAGTAGTGTTGCACAGGCTATTGGAATTGTTATGGGTTTTTTTATTAACCAAAAAAATCAGCATTATTCTAGTTACCTAATTACTTAATTAGTTACTGAGTTTAATTGATGTTTAATCTGATTTGATGGTGTTTTAGACTAAAGGACCACATGAGGAATTGGGCACATAGTGAAAGTAAAAGCATTTTACCTTCAGGTTGTGTCAGACTAATAGAAAATGTTCAGATAATACTGCAGATTGCACGTACTGTTGTAATACTAAATGTCTTGTAGCTTATCAAAGATTTAGTGTTTTTTGACGTTAATAAACATATGTAAAAAGCGTTTGAACATATTTGTAAACACAGATGGGCTTTTTTTAGAGTCTAGATTCATAACGGGTTTTTTTTCTTAATTAAGAAAGTACGCAATTACTTCATTTAAAATTTTTGCAATGTGAGATAATACTTTAAGCATTATTTGGCATTGCTCCACGCTTGTGTGACACCCCCAAGTTAATGACAAAAGTTTAAAACATCATGTTGCACGCTTCTCCACGGGGGCTTTGCTAACCTCGATTCTTTCTTTCTCTCTCCAAAGAAAGCATTGCTGTGGTTTAGAGAGGGCTCTTCCACTAACAATAACATTAACACCTGCCAACTGTTTATTTTGTAAAGCTTTCTCAATCCAGAGCCAACCGTTTTTTGTTTTTGTTTTTTTTTTCTGACATGCACTGCATTTGCATGATACAGATCTTTTGCTATCCAGGAAACTTTTATTATACATTGAGTGTGAGTTACAGTGTGAAGTGTACTTATTTTTCTTAAAACGTTAAGGAACTCAGTCTTAACATTTTATTGTTAAAGTTTCTTCAATATTTCAAATCCTTTTTCGGATCAAATTTATGTCTTGTTATTAGATATTGTTATTGTGTTTTTTTTTTTCCCTCATAAAGCAAGTCAAACTGAAAACATAGTTGGCGGAATATATTGACATGTGAGCATTTTGTGCAACACATCCAAACCCTTACTTTCACCGCAGCAGTGTGTATAATTGTGTTTGTGTGTGTGTGTGTTTATGTGTATAAGCAGCCTTGCCCATCCACCCACCCAGCCTTACTGTTTGCAAGCACGCCCACTCTGCACAGGCAGTTCCTGTTTTCCCCGTTGACAGATTAGTTCAGCCAATTACAGCAGAGTAGAATAACCCTGCTCAGTCAGTCAAGATGGGTCGCTGACACCGCTAGTGTCACCACGGACACCGCCTCCTTTATTGTGGCAAAAATAGAAAAAAGAAATCAGCTAATCAGTCGGTTTCATGTTTCATCGTGGGCTGCTGCAGAGGCCCTGGCCCAATTTAAGAATGTGTTCTGAGAAAACTTGGAGAAAAACTGATGAACAAATAACCTTTGTTTCTGTTTTGGTTTTTGAAATCGCTGCATTGTCATTCAGGTAACGGGGATAAACCTCACGTATTTGGACTACATTTTTTTTAAATTTCGGAAAATAAAAGATGAAAACATCTTGAGCTTATTCATATACTGTTTATATTTGTATTCCCTGGCTCCTTTTCAAGCCATTTCAAGTTTAAAAGCAACGTTACTGTGCCTCTTGCCTTTTAATCCCAGAAAGTGATTAAAAGCACAGTCAGTGAACTCGTTGGTTCTGTTGGTCTGATCCGGGCTGGGGGGCATTCAGCTCTTCTTCCCACACAACACTTCACATGATGGCAGCCAGACTGACAACATATGCTCTCTCTCTGATTCAGAGCTGGATAAAAATAAAACTCACTGTCACTAGGCACCAGATTGGGAAATAGGTTACTGATTGGCATAGCAGTGCTCTAAGCTGTCACAGTAAAAGGAAATGGCCCCATTTAGTATAAAAAATTTGGGAGGCTTTTTTAAAAAAAAAATTCATATAGCTTTAAGGGTCTTTTAGTCTACTTTCAGCCTTAAACCACAATTCTGAGGAAACTAGTGGGACCTGAAAATGTGGAAAAACTTAAAAATGCAACTCACTTTTGTAGCTGGTTTAGGTCCTTGGACTACTGTACCTGAAGCAAAAATAGCAGTGATATTGTTGATACGGCAACACTCTGGCTTGATAAATGCATATATTGCTTTTATCTATGTTCTTGCTGTGTTTGGTTGGCAGACATGACTGACTGTGTGATTTTTCTCATTTCCCTTCCTCCTGTCTGTGTGTACCTCTGTCCCTTTAGTTATGGTTAAACAGGAGCACAGAGACGAGCTGGACCTTCCTGCGGTACCTCCTATTTCCATGCCCCGGGCACCTGCTGGCAGTCTGGTGCGCACCCAGCTGCCTTCTCCTGAGCTGGGCCACCCATCGGATAACCTTCTGTCCAGCTCCCCTCACGGCCTGGCCACGGGCTCCGGACCTGGCCTGCTACCCGTGCAGACCCCCTGCCCCTCCCTGGGCTCCCCATCTTTCCAGCACCTGCCCCAGCTCCAGGGTCGCATTTTGCATCACCCCCCTGCAGACTGCCAAATGACGTACCACCCGAACTCTGCTCCCCTTTCTGTTCCTCCTCATTCTTCCTACCAGCCCATGCAGCACAGTCATGGTCACAGCCTGCCCTTCAACGGCCAGCCCAGCCTTTCTCCTCAGGGCTATGAGAGGATGCCATTTCAGCAGAGCCCCAGTGCAACATCACACCCAATGGGCATGGGAATGTTGTACCCCTCCTCCCCTTGTTCCTCACCAACGGCTCCATCCTCTTCAACAACCAACCCCATTGAGGGTTCCCCACAGAGCCAGCAACCCCTCTTTCCTCCCTCATGCTCACATCTCCAAACGCTGGGAAGCTATCACTGCTCTCCCACCCAGGTGCCCTCCCCAGGTGGACACCCCCTAACAGGGCAGCACTCCACACCACTGCAAAGGGCCATGGGCTATCACCCAGTTAGTCAAAGATCAGCATCATGTCCCACAACGTCCAGCGCCCCTCCTCCAAGGATGGTCCCCTCTCCCCACTCTGGGCCTTCTTCTCCTCAGCTCCACTCATTGCCGTACCAGTCTCCCACCTCATCTTCACCCACCTCAGGCGGCAGCCCCCTGGGGCCACTCCAACAGCAACATTCAGGACAACTTTCTCCCCAGGCTACAAGCCCAGTCATGACTAGCCTTTCTCCGGCAGGAGTGGGGCCTCTGGTTCATCCTCTAAGCCCTCAGGGGCCCTTCCAATCAGATGGGGAGAGGCTGAGTATTAAACAGGAGCCAGAGGACAGGGAGCCCACCTTCCGCTCCATTGGCTTACAGGACATCACACTGGATGATGGTGAGATGTATGACCTTATATTCTTAAAACATTTCCTGTGGGTTTAGTTTTTATTGCCTAGGCTCAGTGGCTACCTTGTATTTTAATAAACAGTGAAACACGTGTAACCTTTGGGAGAAAGTTCAATGTTTAGAACTAGCTGCCTTTACAATTTTAACTGTCATTACGTAAAAAGAAAGAGCTGAACTCATTCAAATTTGACTGTCTTTCAGAAGTAACACAAAACAGACAAAGCAATCTGAAATAAAAAATTAAAGGTTGATGGAGTAATAGTGTAAAAATAGTAATTTCTATTTTTTTTTTAAAAAATTATTATTATTATTATTTTAACCATGCTTCTTTCTCTCTGCAACCCTGTTTTGTTCTGTGTGTAACTATGCGTCTTTGACTCTCACTCAGTTTTCTGTCAGTCCAGCCTTCAACTCTCATTATCACATTTTCCTATCCTTTTACACAAGATATTTAGAGCACAACCATCTGTGATCAATCTCATTTTCAGTCTGAAACAAGGGACCGCTCAGGGATTAAATTTACCCTACAATATGTGACGCACAAGATAAATTTGTACCTGATGATGTAAAACAATACACAGCACCAGTTGTTATATTTTCAAGAGGCTGAAACCTTGATGCCTGATAACAGTGATAGTGTTTCATCTGTCACTGCAGTGCACAGTTGTGTACACAGGTTCATTACTGAGGGGTCTTGTGACTTCGTATTGGGTAACATAGACACAATAAGACTGATAGCTGTAGTATCGTATTAAAGGGTCTAATTGTGGACTGCAGAGCTTCTGTATCTGTGGCAGCAGTTTGGAGATTAATTACATTTTGAATGTTTTGGCTTCTTGGAGCTGAAGGCAGGGAGAGGATTGCATCATTTTGTGCTACTTGCAAAGACTGTGGCTGGAACACGACTACTACGTTTGTGTGCTGCTGCAGTAATTACATCCTGTGTGTGCTTGTGTGTACTTGAGCGTGTGTGTACCTGCACTAACAACTCTAATTAGCATGCTCAGAAGAACTTGTTGACTTAACAATTGACCATGAAGTCAGCACATGCATTTAGCACCTTTTTTTTTTCTCTCATCCATGAACTTCTCATCCTAAAATATGTTAATCCACACCGTTCTAAGTCACCTACCTCCTTATCTGTAGGTTGTGTTACCACTACTGACATATTCAAATGAGAGTTCTGAAGATTTAGGGTTAATAAGTAGCCTGGCAAGGCTATGTAAGGGAAGTGTGATACTGCGTTCTAGAAAGGGTCAGTCTCATTAACACAGCACTGCTCGCAGTAAGTCGTGTGAACAGCTGGTGGCGTTCTATAGTGCATAAAACTTAAGAATACATATAGCTATTCCCTTTTCACAGCCTCATTCATGTGCACACATGAAGTCTGTTTAGCTGCTTTTTTTTTCTTCATGAAACTTTAGCGCAGTTTTATTCAGCCTCTGCCCCTGTCAAACACGGAGACACAGTCACTTTGAAAGTAGCTGCCTGTACTCAATCTCTTATTTGAAAAAAAGTGTGAGAAAAGTTTGTGAGTGACACAGTTCAGACGGGAATGTAAGCTCTCCCTTTGAGCCTGTGGCTAAAAATAGCTTTCTGTGCCAGCCCAGCTCTGTAGGCCATGTTTTGAAGTAGAAATGTGGAGTTTTTACCCGGCTCTGAGTTTTAGGAGGTCGCAGCACACTCTCTTAAGTAGACCACATACACCCCAGTTTGGCAGACAGGCAGATCAGGATGAACACAAATTTTACCACAAGGGTTTATGAATTCATGAAGCGTGGCGATAAACCTGCATTCTGGTTTCATAATTTGAAAAAAAAATAAATCTAAAATTATGACTTTTGAACACTTGTACATAATTATCATTTGTTTTCTGATAAAATGCGTCTTGTGTTTAGAAGAGTTTGTTCTCAGACTGGTTTAATATAGACTCACTGTTTTTGCATGGATGTCCATCACACTTAAGCTCAACTTTTGCTGTACTACCATAGACTGAAGTCGGCGATAGAAGAGGGAATACAAATGTGTAGAAAACTGCTCTGATTAGCAAGCAGATGGCACTTGTGACGCACACCATAGCATGCGCGAGATGTGTGTCTTGGTGCGTGTGTTAGGGAGAGATTGTGTGTATTGTGTTTGTGTGCATCTTTTTGATATTGTGGAGGTGTGTGTGTGTGTGTGTGTGTGTGTGTGTGTGTGTGTGTGTGTGTGTGTGTGTGTGTGTGTGTGTGTGTGTGTGTGTGTGTGCGTGCCTGCCCGTACAGAGCAGGAGACACAGGAGGTGAGAAGACAGACTGACAGACAGATGGACAGACAAGTCCTGAATCCAAACCCACTGCAGGGTCACTCAACTGAGACGTTCAATCTGAAATGTTCTTGGAATCTGAAATTAAATTGAAGTGTAAACTGAATAATTTAATGATTATGTACAATCTGTAATGCACATTTGAAATTTTCATTCCTGTCTAAACACAGAAGTGTATTTTTGGAGAAACAGCACTTAAGATGTATATAAAAATTACATAGATAATAATTGCTTCTTTGTGATACAGGGGCAGCCATGCTTTATTTTTATTAGGCTTTGCAGTGAAAGACCATAAGCCACAAAAGCAAAGAAGTATCTTCTCAATGTAAAAGCAACAAGAGATTTAACAGAGTGTTTCTAAAATGTGGAGCTTTTCTACTGCTTTGATGTCTGAATCAAAACAGAACAGAATATAATTGGGTGGTGTCTTAATGGAAAATGATCAAAGACACCGTTTTTTATAACAAATTTGGTGTATAGAGCAAGATTTATCAGAACTTTAACCAGAAAATGAATTATAGTTTCCATTTAGGTGTCGTATACGTGATTAATAGGTTAATAGGTTTATAATCCGTGAGATTGTCAGGCAGGTTTTCCAAGCATCTATAGATACACGTTTGTTTGGTGACTGTATGAGCATGGTAGCGGCTTAAAGAATGCATAGTGGTCATGGTGACAGAGTCTGAAGCTGTTTTGCTGCCAACCTGTGCACTTAACTAATTAATCTGCACGTGACTGTCTTTATGTTTGCAGAGCACAGCTGGGAAAGAATAGCATGTGTGTTATTGGCTTTGTTTGCATGTGAGCAGTTGCTGTAGTGTCGACACTGCACGCAGCGTGTGTCCACAACAAAGCCGGTCTTTTGTCTGCGCTGCCCTGCCCAATTTCATAGCTGCCCCAAACTGTGAGCTATGGCTTTGAGGGTTAATATTAGGCAGAGCCCTGCTGCTTGCACTCCTCGAGGCAGAGACACTGGCACAGTAAAGTAAAGACACAGAAACATGCACATTGAGCGACACGTATCATCCTGTGGATGTCATCAAATATGCCAGGCAGTGTCCATCTTTAAATATATGTTTTTATTGTTCTGTTTTTCTGTGTTTACAAGGAAAGAGACTACATACAAATGAAAAAGTTTCACCAGCTGTTGCTAAAAGGACAAAAAGCATTTTGTGGTGGAAGAAAAATCTTCACATTGGGAGATTTAGTTTTTATTTTTTTGCTCCATCTTTGTTGGTCCACACAGATTTATCTGCTAAGCAACATTTTTGCACTAAAAAATGTTCTTGCTCGTTATCTAAAGAGCACCACTAATCTCTTCTTCTATGTTCAGTGTGATGGTGAATGCAACACTAGGTTGGCTTAGCTTAGCTTTCATAATAGAGTTGGGTTATGGAGCAGCTAGACTGTCTATATACCATTATGTGACAAAATCCACCCACCAGCTCAGTAGTGCTGCTTCACACATGCATACAGAGTTTACAGAGTTCAGTTACTGGGCCACTTCATGAAGTCTGCACTTAATGTCCAAATGAAAGTGATACTTGTTTCTTTAACAGACAGATAATCTGCTGTTAAGTCATGTGTGAAGGTGCTAGCAGATGGATTACTTTCACAGAAAACAATTTTTTCCCGTTTCCAGTCTTTGTGAATTCACCAGCTGTTGTAGTTTCATATTAGCAGACAGAAATAATTTGGTATGTACCAGGTAATGAGAGGCATGTTATAATGCCACCGAAACCAACGATTTCCCATTTTGCTTATCTCTAAATGATAAACTGTCATTTGTTTATTTAAAGTCATTTCATGATGTGCATCCTGCAAATGATGTGTGCACCATGAATGCTACAAATAGCTGAGAACTGGAAAGTTTGTAATTAAAAAAAAAAAAAGTGGTGAACTGGCCACTGACCAAGTAATCCAAAAAGACTGTTTCTCAGCAGTTGGCCCTCCAAGGGGGGGAAAGCCAGTAAATATTGGATTTTAACTTTGAGAAATACAGCTACAGCTTTCTCTTAAATGAAATTAAACATAAAATTAGACTTTCAAATACCTTTTTGTCTTTGGGTCCTTTTCTAAGCTGTAATTCATTGATATTTTTTCTTGGAATGAAAAGTTAATTTGTAGAGTCGCCATCACAAACAGATTTAAGTCATTTGCAGAACATTATTTTTTTCATGAAAACACAGAAAGAAATTAGTTGTTTTGTGTGACAGTATGAAGTCTCTAACACATTAGAGTTAGAGACTTCATACTGCCATTAGGCAGAAGAATAACACGGATAACCCCAAACTCCTGATTTGCTGGCATAAACGCTGTAAGCAGTGAAAGGAAAATAGATTTCCATTAAATGCCACCGCTGCTCTTTAAAAACAATGGCAAACATTTGCTGGTCTTTTCCCCTCAAACAAGTGGAAAAGGACTTTCTGTGTCATCTTTCCACACAATTAGGGTCTTAAAGAGTTTAATGCAGATGTCTTGGCAGACGCAACCTGGTATGGAGACGGTGCCAGTTGCTGCATTTTTCGTTAGAAGAAGGGAAAGCCTAGAAGTCCCTCTGTGGTAATAAAAGTAGTTTAGCTCGTACGTTGTTTTTTTTTTTGTTTGTTTGTTTTTTTTAAATATGCATATATGATATTATTTAGGAAAGTAGTACTGCTGCTTTTATGGTTAAGGTTTTTTCC